CCAGCGCAACGCGCACGCAACTCCTGTCAATGGCATTTCCACTTGTCTCAGCTGCTCTGCAGCCTCGTTCCCACTGGCTCCAGGACCCCAAAGCTGCTAATACAGCGTATGGCAAGAAGCTCACTGCCACTATTAAAAGCATGTTTTCGAAGATTCTGAAATGAACGGCAGCATGTTGAAAACCCTGCCAGCCATTTGAAACCTCCCACTTCGCAGACTTTTCGTTGCAAATGCTAGTAGCTAGCAAACTCGGGCTCAGATGGCAGCAAGAGCTAGTCTGGTTTTGAAAAACCATAACAAACCTAGCAAATCATCTACTGGAAAGAATTCCAAATCTTGTAGATAGCCAAAGCTTCATGGGCAGAAACTGCGACTCTGAAAACAGGTCCAGAAATAACACGAAAGCCGTGGCCGCGCAAGCGTGACCTCCAGAGTTCATCTTCGTCCGGTCGCCAATGCCATTACCAAACACGAGCGGCGCTTCAGAACCACAGAGCAACAGCACAAGGAAGAAGGGCGGCAGAGACCGAAGACGGCGCGTCAGCTCCAGGCTAACTCGGGCCCATTTTCGGGGCCAAATTCCGGCCCCAGAGCTGTATCTGGCGACCCCCGATTTTGGGCTTAGGCGTAAGACAAACACCAATTCAGACGGCCCCAAAAATGGGGCCACCAAAAACCATTCCAGGGGCCATCAAGCAACCTCATTTTCGGGCCCCGACAAGATCGACCTCTATTGGCACTGGCACAGCCTTCCATAATGGTTTCGGAAATCTTAAGCTGCGTTGGACCTGCAACAATCCCAACCAGTGTAAGCTTGTGCAAAGAACCTTATACCTCTGCAACAATACTCGTCCTTTACAGTTCATCTTCGTCCGGTCGCCAATGCCATTACCAAACACGAGCGGCGCTTCAGAACCACAGAGCAACAGCACAAGGAAGAAGGGCGGCAGAGACCGAAGACGGCGCGTCAGCTCCAGGCTAACTCGGGCCCATTTTCGGGGCCAAATTCCGGCCCCAGAGCTGTATCTGGCGACCCCCGATTTTGGGCTTAGGCGTAAGACAAACACCAATTCAGACGGCCCCAAAAATGGGGCCACCAAAAACCATTCCAGGGGCCATCAAGCAACCTCATTTTCGGGCCCCGACAAGATCGACCTCTATTGGCACTGGTACAGCCTTCCATAATGGTTTCGGAAATCTTAAGCTGCGTTGGACCTGCAACAATCCCAACCAGTGTAAGCTTGTGCAAAGAACCTTATACCTCTGCAACAATACTCGTCCTTTACCGGGGAGGCCCCGCATGAGCGGCAGCGGAAAAGCAACACATTCATGGATCCTGAAATGGGCCGCGGAAAAATGACATCTGGCACTATTACGAGAAAACTTGTGAAGAAGACTTGCAGGAAACTTTCGATTCTGAGAAAGCAACAAAACCTTTTCTGTCCTTGAAAAGCAAACCCTTACAAATAACAGAAAAACTCCTGGAAATTCTACCCTGCTCAAACCCATAGAATTTTCTGAAACCTCGCGGAAACCTTCGGAAACCCAAGCGGAAACCCAGCGGATACCCAGCGGAAACCCTCAGGCCCTCGGAAACCCGTGGGAAACCCAAGGAAACCCAGCGGAAACCCAGCGGAAACCCAGCGGAAACCCTCGGAAACCCTTGGGAAACCCAAGGAAACCCAAAGCCGGTATTCGGAAACCCATCGGAAACCCCTTAGAACGGAGCCGATTCACCCTTTGGAAAATTACAAAGGTTTAATGAAGGGGAGCAGTGCAGACGCCGCCTCCAGTGTTATATTACCGGCGGTTTGCAGAGGGTGAGTGACCAGCAGACACATTGTCAAACTTCACCGCTCCCGTGCATGCTTTGCCGGAGGCCACATGCGTTCACGCGCAGACACCTCTGGAATTCAAAAGGCTGCACTGCAATTTACTGCAAGGGATCACTTCTGTGAGCACCACACACAGCGCAGACTTCCACCAAACATGGACTTCAGATACAAACTTCTTCACAAGCGCACTCACTGGTCACTGGTCACTGGTCCACCTGATCGGGAGGGCTTGGCTACGCGCTGCTACCAAAACTGCAAGAGCCCTCCTCTAGACTCGAGTCTAGCAACTCCACGACCTATCTCATCGCAGTACTCTACGCAAAACTCGAAAAAAATGCCGGCGCAGCGTTCCCAGCAGCTCTGCTGTCACCACGGATGAAAATAACACTCGGGAACACATCGTCTAGCCATTCACAGCAGCTACCAGGCTACCACAAGGAAACTGCTCTTGGGAGATATTTCACGCGCATCTAGCAAGCTGACGAGGTGCGATAAACGTCAGTCAGAGACAGACACTGGCGGAGTCTGCGCCAGGCGCCAGCGCAACGCGCACGCAACTCCTGTCAATGGCATTTCCACTTGTCTCAGCTGCTCTGCAGCCTCGTTCCCACTAGCTCCAGGACCCCAAAGCTGCTAATACAGCGTATGGCAAGAAGCTCACTGCCACTATTAAAAGCATGTTTTCGAAGATTCTGAAATGAACGGCAGCATGTTGAAAACCCTGACCAGCCATTTGAAACCTCCCACTTCGCAGACTTTTCGTTGCAAATGCTAGTAGCTAGCAAACTCGGGCTCAGATGGCAGCAAGAGCTAGTCTGGTTTTGAAAAACCATAACAAACCTAGCAAATCATCTACTGGAAAGAATTCCAAATCTTGTAGATAGCCAAAGCTTCATGGGCAGAAACTGCGACTCTGAAGACAGGTCCAGAAATAACACGAAAGCCGTGGCCGCGCAAGCGTGACCTCCAGAGTAGAGCACAAAAGAAACGTGACACAGCTGGGAAACGCTTCGTGAAGCCGCAAACGCCCGCACGGGCACCCCACGTCCACATGCCGCAGGTCCAGGAGTGAGAGGTACTATGCGCGTGGCCCCGTGCGGGGACCTCAGAGGGAAGCAGGCAAAGAATGCGCCTGGCAGCCTTCAGCGAAGGGCTGTTGACAAAGGTACGGGCAAGATGCTCCGCACGAGCCACGTCCACGACCCACTGGCAGGGCGAAGGCTGTTCACGTAAGTCAAGAGCCACAGCGGGCCTGGGGGCAGAGCAGGATGCGTCATCAGCACGGACTGGCACCGGCACAGTCGCTTCACGTACAGGTGCTTTGGGGTGGGGCTCGGCAGTGCAAGTGGGAACAACAGAGGTGCTTAAGGAGGGAGCAACCGGGGGCCTAGGGGAGGGAGGAGACTTAGGGAGCAGAGACACGGGCTCACCAAGGGGCCTGGATGCAGGAGAAAGATTGGCCCGGTCGCGAACTTCCAGAACAGGTTGGCCTGAGGCGGGGAGATCGCGAGACTCATCTGTGCAAAGGGCAGGAGTCAGCACCTGCGGGGGAAGGTCAGACATCTTCGCCACCTCAGGCTGGCTAGCAGAAAACGAATTCGAAGTGACACTGGTCGAAGCGCTGACACTATGATTGCCGAAACAACGCGCGCAGACATGGGCACGGGAGCAGTTGGCCACCCGGCACTCCCCAAGGCTGAACCCGTAGCAGATGGCTTTGCCATCGGGCGTTTGGGCTTTGCCGCCCTTGTCGAGAATGGCCTTGGGGACAGCCGCACGGTTGGCAGCACCTTTGCCTGGACCTTTCGGGGGACGAGCAGGTGGGTCCTTGGGCGCAGGGGGAATCTTGTCAGCTTTATCATCCTTCTTGCTCTTGTCATCTTTGATCTTCTTGCGCTTCTTTCCTCGACCGCCGCCACTCCCGGCAGCCGTGCTTCCACGAGGGATCAAGACGAAGGAAACGCGATATGACGAGAGTGCTTCAAAGAGAGCGTCATCCATGGCACGGGTTCCGTCACTCTTGCGCCGGGGCCGGATTCCTTTCTCAAGCATCCACACATGAACCAAGCGGTCAGCCTCGACAACTTGATGCAGCTGGCAAGCACCCCCTGGCAGGGCGTCGGGGTTTGTCAGGTGTCGCATCAGCTCCTTGACGTATTTTTCATGTGCAAGAAAATCAACCACATCGGCAAATGCCAGCGCCAGTCCTCGACGACGGAATGCTGCAGAGAGGAGCAAGGGGTTGTGAACTTGGGCGTCACACGGGAGCTCCTGGTCCTTGAGGACAAGCCGCTGCTGCTCCAACTCAACGACACGGGCGAGGGGCTTAGCAAGGGCCACCTCGCTTAAGCGGGAGGTGCATTTCTCAGGGGCGATATACCTTATCTCATCCAGCGAACTCATGGTGCAGGCCAATTCCAACAGGGCCCGGCTGGGCTCCGCATCACCTTCTATGATCACACCGGAAACCTTGGCCTTTAAAGCCGCCATGCGTTTGTCGCGCTCTGCTTCTGCAAGGGGTCGGGCGGCAGAGGCACTGGGGTTGGTAACCTGGTCCTTGAGATCGGCCAAGGTAAGTGTTTGCGCCTCGAAGACGAGTCGGCGTACGCTCGCAGCTTCCCCTGCTGATGCAGAGGGGATGGAGGTTTGGACCCAAGTATGCCACTGATCATCGGCTAACTGTTGACCTGGTTGCCCCACGCAATAAGCGAGCTGCCCAAGAGTCTCAAAACCCAGACGTGTCAAGGTACGGATGAGGGGCTCGCCGATGCGGAACAGCTTGCATCTCGCCTGAAAGTGAGCGGCAGACTCCAGCACAGACATGGGGCTCTCACGCAGCGCACTCGAGAGGCTACTTAGGGGCACCTACTTCACATGACAGAGTGTACCCGATCAACTTCACATGACTGAGTGTACCTGATCATCAAGATGGGATACAAACATTCAGGAATCAACACAACAAATCATGGCATGAAAGCATTGGTCATGTCGTCACCAACCTCGACTTGAGGGGGGGACGAGAGAGAACAAGCAGTCGACATGACTCACGTTCACTCATGCTCAACCCCCCCCCCCTTGTCCGTGCACTCGACCGAAAAAAAAGGCAGACAGCAGCATGACAGTTGTGAGGGCGCAACACTTCATTGCAGACCCTAGGTCGACTACTTACCTTCGCAAGCAGACGGACCCGACTTTTCCACAACCATCAAATGCATCGCCGGCAACCCTGACACTCGACCGCATCCAGGTCGGCATCCTCGGCAACTCTGTACGCATCGGAGCGCACACGTCCGCATGCAAGAACTTGAAGGTACGCATCAAGATTGCTTTGGCCGCGGAACGACGGTGGATCACCCAGACGTCGGACTCATCTCGCGTCTCAGGCAGAAAGCGGCGGGCCTTTTTGCTGAGGGGAGGGCTTGAGGAATGGGTCACACGGTCCGAGCTGCTGCTTCGGAAAGCCTCAGAATCAGAGGAATCCTCACTTCGCTCATGCGCAGACTCCTCGGCTTCGGAGGCGGAATCAACTTTGATGGCTCCGGAGGGTCTCACGACAGGCAAAATCGGTGTTGGGCCAGGAGAGGCTTCACAGAACTCACTCCAGAAAGCGCTAAAGGAGCATCTGGCACGAACACTCCAAGAGCCACCTGATGTAACAAGCGAGAAAAGGCCAACGCTGAGATCACGACTGTACACAACCTCAGTCGTGAGTTGATTGCGAGCATGCCGACCCAAGACAGCACAAGTATCACGGTCCATGCCAGCGCGCGTGCCGGCCTTGGATGCCTAGAACAGGCCAGTGACCTTGAGGGAATGTGAGGACACGCCTGAATCCTCAGGCAAATCGAGGGCTTGACGAAGCATCCTGAACACTTCTTGCGAGGACACGGGGCGAGCACAGAGGGCAGAGCACTCAGCATCAAGGGGTGGGCGGAAAATGGGCCCGTCAATCTTGCCACTTAAACACAGGTTAACGGCTTCAAACGCATGGATTGCAAGAGGCAACCAGGGACGAGAGACCACTCCCTGTGCAGGGACCAAGATATGCAAAAACTGCGCATTCTTCTTGGCGGTGGTCGAGGTCTTGTGACGACCTGTTCGAATCTGCAGGAAGCCCGAAACACCATCGAAGTCGCACTCTAGGTCCCAGATGCACTGCAGGTCAGAGTGCCGACATCGTCCATAGACGGCGATCAAGGCATACGCAGCGAAGCAACGCAACAGGGGGTCGTCGCTGCCTTCGAGAAGTTCATGCAATTTGCGAACCTGATCAACTGTTAGTGCACGAGCCTGCTTGAGCCATCGGGTCTTAGCAGCCAGCTGCTGACTGGCACCGACGATGCGCCTGCTAGAAATGCATACCTGCACATCCACCTCAAGGACGCAAATCTGTCCTGCGGAGCCCCGTCCTGGCCTCAATGTCCTCAGGGTCGGGCGGTTGTCCTGTGCACCGTTCCACGACGACACACAACTTGTTGATTGCAATGTGAAGCAACATTGGAAATCGTGGTCTGAAAGAAGGACCTCAGGTCGGTCACACGGTCCAAGCACTCGACCATCCGGTCAGGCGTGCTCACCTCAGGTGGTAACAAGGGCTCCAAGGATGGGGATTGCACAGCAAAGTCGGCATCATCACTGCACTTCATAGGACCTTGTTCCCACGGTAGACGGATTTGCGTCAAATTTCGGGATGCAACAACCTGTTGGCAAACAATCTGATCAATGAAGCTGGTGTCAACGCTTGACTCGAGAGGTAAACCTGTGCAACCCTCAGAATCAGGATGACGGGCGTCATCTTCCGTGTCAGAAGAGCAAGCCCCCAGCGGGCCAACACCTGCATCTTCGGCGACGTTGAAGTCGCCATCGGACACAGAGACATTGTCGGAAAGAACAGAAGCAGTCCCTAAACTCCCCCCAACAGAAGCATTTCCCAAACTCCCCCTTTATCCGAAAGTACAGTCAGCGGCCCAGGCGCAGGTGCCTCGAGTGCAATCACTGCACAGGCAGGCGGAGTCAGGAAGGTCGGGGGCTCAGGTGGGAAAGGATGCTCCGCGACTGCGACCCAGCTGCTGGCGGGCGGAACCGGAGGCGTCAGTGGCACTGGCCGGATCGGACATGCTTAAGAAGGCAAAGTGAGCAATGCTCGAAAGCAAGCGTGAGGACTCTTGGCCGTGCAGAGCAGCGACGGCCAGCTGCGGAAAGGCAGTGCCAGCAAAATCCTGGATCCCTCGCTCAGAAGCACGGCAACCAAAGTGCTGTCAGCGACCCAAGACCAAAGGCTGGGGGGAGCAGCAATCTGATCACGCAACAGATCGTCGTAGAAGGCTCTTGGGCGCAACAAAACTGGCCGAAACGGCGGCAGAGGCCCCGCAAGGATCAAAACGCGGTCGTCGCTCGAAGAAGAAGAAAAATCTCAGAGCTGTCGGAACCGCTCATAACAGGGCCAAGCAACACACCATCCGCCAGTGGCCACGCCACTGGCTTGCACACGGCCTAAGGCCAGTCCCTTAGCACCCCTTACGAGACCTCTACTCGAGAACGTAGCCTCAGGCCCAAAGTAAATTTTCTGCATCTCTCAGCTGTCAGCCACTGTTACCGGGCATGAAGACTGCATACAATGTTAAGTGTACAGCATGTATCCAGGTACAGTGAATGGGTGCAGTAGGAAAGACACCAAATGCCCTAAGGCATGTTGAGTCTGAGCAGAACGAGTTTGACACCGGAGGCTTAGGCTCAAGAGTCGAAAGCGAGAAAAGTTGTTTTGCCTTTAGAGCGTGGTAGGAAAAGTGAGCCATGATGTTTACCACGTTTTTCAACATGGTAGCGGAGCACCTGAGTCAGGGTGCGATGATGCTACAGCAAGCTGGATGGACGAAGATTTTTCCATGGAGCATGATGGTTTTCATGTCTGTGCGAGAAGTGTGTGCCAGCAACCTCCAGAACCTTCAGCAGATGGCAGAGCAGACAGTTGCAGCAAGCAGTGGTGCCCTGGACGCTTTGAGTTCAGGAAGATGGCAGCAGGAATTGTTCCTGTTTGCAGTGCTGGTTTTCATGAGCAGCATTTTAGCAGGAATGGCGTGGTCGTTCTTGCGAGAGATTGCAACTGAAGAGCGAGAGATCGAGACTGTCGCCCATGAAGAGTTCATGCCTGATGTTTACATTGCAAAGTCAAGAACAGCAGTGCACAAGCATCGAGAATGCCGTGGCCTGGACAGTGCGGATCAGGCGCAAGTCGTACGTGCACCTGGATGTAGAGTTTGCTTTCCAGATGGCTATGTTTACATTCAAGGGCAGACAGAAGTAAAGAGAAGGAGGTTTACCCAGATGACTGGATGTGGTTTCTGGATGAGAGTCCTTTGCAGTGCAGTTCTTCTACTTTGTGCAGGGCTCGTTACAGCAGAAGGTTGGTTGTTGATGATCAAGAATGTGAAAGCAAAGGCAGCAAGAAGCAGTACAGAGATATTGCTAGATGAAGCAGAGCTCGTTATGTCAAAGCCGCTGCCCAGGAATTCGATTTCCCTCCAGGATGACCTGAAGACTATTGCCTTGGAGGATGAGCATGCCGAGGTGCAGCATGCGACTCATGCACTTGGTGGAAGCAGCAAGAATGTGCATGTGAGAAGAGAGAGAGAAGAGACAGAACATGTGGAGCTCATGTCCTTCAGTTTGCAGCGTCGTCAAACCAAAGAAGCCCCAATACGCTATGAAGATCAAGACAACGAAGAAAACTACAACCTCGAGATTGTGAAGTACATGATCGCAGGATTTGAAGCATCAAGAAACTTCGACATCACGAATTTGAAGATTGAGGTGAAAAGATGGTATGAAGGTACAAGAAGATTCCTTCGAAGCCTTGAGTCGAGCTACGCCCCTGAGATCTCAGTCATGTTTCACAAGCAGAAAGAAATCATTTTCGTGTTGATGATCGTGATGTGCACCCCGATTGGTTTGGTTACTTGGATCAGCCTGTACAACATGTGTGCCATCCAAAGCAAAAGAAAAGAGTGTTTGAAGAGAAGAGTTTCGAGGAGAGCCAGGTATCAAGAAGTTCGTGCATGTGGTGTTCAGAAGAAGACGCTCATGTTCATTGTGTTGCTGTATACAAACACGCAAGCAGCTGAAGCCATGAACGCTCAGATGGAGCAAGCAATGCAATCTTTGGCCCAGCAGACAGCAACGAACACCCAACAGATAAACGACCTGGTTAGCGCAGTTCAGCAGCAAGCATCCCAGCAGCAGCAAGCAAGCACAGCAGCTCAAAGTGCAGCAGCAGCCAGTGAAGGCGAGATGAGAGAAATGTTTCGCAACATGCTACAAGTGGCTACAAGAACGAGCACAGCGGTCCACGAGGCAGCAAGCATGATCAACAATATGGGTCAAATGCATCGAGATTTTCGTGAGCATCAAGAAGCACGAGAACAAGCACAAGCAGAAAGAGAAAAGAGAAGAGAGAAGGGAGATGTCGAGTTGCACAAGATGATCAAGACCCCCGACGTGTTCAACCCAAGCAGTTTCAAAGAAGAGCATGAAGGCTGGAGTGAATTCAGACACAAGATGCGAACCTGGATTGGAGCGTTGGACCCAGAGATGTTAGCAAGAATTGAAGCCGTTGAAGCAAAGAGAAGTGAAGCTGTTGAGTTTTCCACCTTGAGTGACGAGCACAAAGCCGTTAGCAAGAAGCTCTACACGATCCTCACTTCGTACACGAAAGGTCGCCCATTGAGAACGATCAAGCAGATTACAGAGGAGAATGGTTTAGAAGCATGGAGAATTTTGCTCGAAGAACATGAACCCTACACTCGTGGTAGAAGTCTTCGATTGCTGACTAGCCTCACGAAGTACAAGTTTGAAAACAAGAAGACCGCCATGGAGAACATCCTTGCATTCGAAGAAGCAATCGAGCAGTATGAAAAGGCATCAGGAGATGTGGTGCAAGATGATTTGAAGATTTCAATTATCCTCAATCAGCAAGATGGTCAACTTCGACAACACATGTTGCTCAATTTGAGAGATGATACAAAGTATTCAAGTCTTCGTCAGTTTCTCCTGTCCTATGAGCAAAACACGCGCTGGACCACAACTGACTTGATCAACGCCGGCAACGACCACGGTGGACAAGCAGACATGGATGTCAGCAACGTGAACAAAGATGACAGAAGAAAGCCCTGGAGATCCAAAGGAAAAGGAAAAGGAAAGTTCAGCAAAGGCAAAGGAAAGGGCAAAGGAAAATGGAGGAAAGGAAAGTCCAAAGGAAAAGGCAAGTATGGCAACGACTACGGCTACAACTCCAAAGGACGAGGAAGAGGAAAAGGTCGTGGTCGAGGTCGCGGTCGTTTTGGTCGTGGAAAAGGATTTGGTCGTGGATTTGGAAAAGGACGCGGAAAAGGAAGCTTTGGTCCTCAGTGTTGTCATTACTGTGGAAAGCCTGGTCACTTTGAAGCCCAATGCAGACAGAAGCAGAGAGATTTTGGTGATGTTCGAAACGTGAACGACGACCAGCAAAGTACCACAGCAGCCAGTTCTACTGCAGCACCAAGCACGTCAAGCACCACGAACGTGACGAGCGTCAGCAGGAACCAAGCAAAGACCGTGCGTCAAATCTCCATGATCCACATTGGAGATCCTCCACAACAGTATCCAGAAGTTTTCGAAGTCGACACGGAGGCAGAAGAAGAACTTGAGATTGACTATTTTGGTCGTGTGCTACGTGTTGAAGAATTTCAGCTTAGCGATGCAGAGCAAGAAGAAGAAGAACACGAGCACCAAGAAGAAGATGATCCTTTGATGTTGTGGTGGAAAGATGGTTGTGAGCACGAAGAAGATTGCAACCTTTGTGTCCGTGCAGTCCAAGAATCATTTTATGAGAGCAGTCCTGTCTATGAGAAGATAGAAGTGATCTTGGACAGTGGCGCCGATGTCAGCCTCATTCCTCTGTGGCTTGGCAAAGAGGGAGTGCCTGTGAAGAAGAAGAACGATTCAGGCATCAGAGACGCACAAGGAAGAAAGATTCCTGTAAAAGGAAAGAGAGCAATCAACTTGACTATGTTCAGCTCGAAGCAAGAAGCAGTCAAGATGCAAGAATGCTTCATCGTTGCGAATGTGGTCAATCCTTTGTTGGCAGTCGGAAAGCTACTCAAGAATGGCTGGGAGATTGTCAAGAAGGATGATGGCTTGATGTTGTCAGACGGAATGTCAGACATCCCTGTTCACTACCACAAGAACTCGCTGGCTACTTATGCTTATTTGCAAGCAGGAAAGAGGTATGAGAGCGAAGCCTATGTGAACCTGGAGCAGGAACACGTTCGCACCGTCATTCAGCTGAACTCCCACATAGCTGATGCAGCAAGAAAGCAAGAACCTGGCTGGCATGATACAGACAGCATTGTGGTTGTGCACTACTCCCCGGCGCAGTCGAAGTACAAAGATCCCACGGACATGTACCGTACGGAGGATTTTCCGTACAGAAGCACGATGATCAAGACAGAAGATGGTACATGGAAAGCCGTTGAAGTGTGCAAGAAGTATGCGCAGAAGATGGACCCGTTTGAGGATATCAGCGCAGGCGGGGAATTTGAAGTGGTGACAGCATTGTCGTCACGAGTTATCCCGCTGAATGTCTTGGGCATCCCCTTGAAGAAAGATGAAC